AAAGGCCTGCAGTGACAGGACGAGGGGCAATGGCTTCAAGCTGGAGGGGAACAGATTTAGACTGGAGATGAGGAGAGGGTTCTTCACTGTGAGGGTGGTGGAGCACTGGAACAGGTTGCCCAGGGAGGTGGTTGAGGCCCCATCCCTGGAGATATTCAAGGAGAGGCTCGACGAGGCCCTGGGCAACCTGGTCTAGTTGGGGGTGTCCCTGCTGACTGCGGGGGGGTCGGACTAGATGGCCTTTGGAGGTCCCTTCCGGCCTGGGCAATTCTATGGTTCTATTCTATGATTCTAGTTTGGTTTTTCTACTAGAAAAAGCAGGAGTTTACCAACTGTAGTCTGCAGATACAGTTCTAGGTGTCAATATAGGCTGTAATTCAAGAGCAGGTTACGTTTCCCCCCTTTGCTGTAAGTGCACAGTCATGGGCTGTGCTTCCTGTGTTCAGTTTAGGAATGTGGATTCCAAAGCGCTACATACTGTGCTTCCCATTACTCCATTGCGGTTCCTCAGCCAACTAGTGACACAAAAGTTTCTCTTATCTAGATTTCCCAACCGTGTGTTTTTCCAGTTTCATGTTTTCATTGTCCTCTGTCACTCCATTTTATTTTTGGAGGGGTTTCAGCTTGAATTTCTTTCTTCCCCCCATCCCTTCTGGGCGCTGGCTGGATCCCGTCTCCCAGCCCACACACAAGAGGCCTTTGTTGCCTCCGACAGGGGTCTGTGTCTGAACACTCTGCTCTGAGCTGCTGCTCGGACACGGGAGGAGCAGGAGTTTAAACTGTAGCGATGTCTTCTGGATAAAATTGTGGAAACTTCCTCAGATCCTTTTTCCCATGGGTTCTAGAAGTTGCCATCCATCAGGTCAAACATCCTTGGCACAGAACCTCCCCCTGCTCCCTCCTGGGAGTGCTGGGGTTTCCCCTCAGAGTTCTCTGCACAGCCTTTGCATCACCACCGCATTGGAGGAACCCAGGAACTGTCCAGTCTGTGCAGGGAGCAGAAATATTTAGGAAAATGAGTCTTCAGCACTGTCACATTTCAAGCTTTTCAGCTGTTATTTTGGCTCTAATTACACCCATTGACTTACAGCATGCTCTACAATTTTTTTTTCCACTAAAATTCAAACCCTTCCTGACCTGCGGTGGGTTTCAGGCCCCGTAAGGTGAGGTGTCACCTTCAGGTGCTCAGCCAAGTGCTGTTTGAAATGCTCTTTGCATGAGAAATCCTGCAGTTCAGCCTTTAATCAGCCCTGGGGCCGTGCTGGGTTTGTACACGCACAGCCCAGTGCTCTCTGAGTGTGGATGGCCCGTCGGGGGTGGATTTTTGTGTTTTATGACAAACCGCTCTGCCTGTCAGGGGAGAGCTTTGAAACTTCCTCTTCCTGTCCAAATGTTGGAGGATTTTGGTGGAGATGAAGTTCCTGCTTGCCCCTGCCTGGCCAAGACAGGTCTCATATCCCCATCTTCCCTGCCAGTCCCCAAGAAACCTGTTCCCTTTCCCATTCATGTAGGTTTGGGAATTGATATCAGCCCTCATTTCCCAGTGCAGCGTTTCCCAACACAGGCATTAGGTAAAGCTGTAGAATTGAGTAACGAGGCCGGTGCTGACGGGGAACGGGAGGGAGTGAGGACACGGTGATAAGGTGATTCCCAGGAGTCTCACACCATCTTAGAAAACTGAACCGAAGGAAAACGGGAATTTTTCATCTTTGCTTTCATTTCTGCAGGGTTTCCAGGTGCTAGTGGAGACGGAGTGGCTGGATTTTGGCCACAAGTTTGCCGATCGCTGTGGCCATGGTGAGAATTCGGATGACCTAAATGAGCGCTGCCCAGTGTTTTTACAGTGGCTGGACTGCGTCCATCAGCTCCAGAGGCAGTTCCCTTGCTCTTTCGAGTTTAACGAAGCATTCCTTGTGAGTTGTGGCTTGAGAGATTGCTGTTTTATAGACTGCTGCTAAACCAGTGCCCGGTACTAACATACTAGAGTGTCCCCAGGGGGTTCTGATTTTCCATTTACCTGGGATACACTGCCACCTGATAAAGGAAACTGGAAAACTGCCCAGATGCAGTAGACAAAAGTACTTGTGTAATTCATGTTTGCTCTTAAAACAGAAGTAGGACCCTTGAGGTCTTCTTTTAGATTTTTAAAGAAATAAATAAACGATGCTAACTTAATAGTCTCACCTAAGAGGTGCTGAAATAATTCCTGTATAATACACATATTGGCTATATAAACTCCCCCCTATTTTGATATTGTCTTGACTTGAAGGCTCCTCCTCTAAACCCAACCTCCCCCTTGGCTTTCCATTCATTTTTTTCTCTTTCTTTGCTGAAAATATGCAGGATATATGAGCTGTGTTTCTTTTCTTTTGACGTGGACAGCTGTCCTATCAGAAATCTGGTCCAAATCAGTTCTGGAGGCCGGAAACTTCCGGCCTGGGCAATTCTATGGTTCTATTCTATGATTCTAGTTTGGTTTTTCTACTAGAAAAAGCAGGAGTTTACCAACTGTAGTCTGCAGATACAGTTCTAGGTGTCAATATAGGCTGTAATTCAAGAGCAGGTTACGTTTCCCCCCTTTGCTGTAAGTGCACAGTCATGGGCTGTGCTTCCTGTGTTCAGTTTAGGAATGTGGATTCCAAAGCGCTACATACTGTGCTTCCCATTACTCCATTGCGGTTCCTCAGCCAACTAGTGACACAAAAGTTTCTCTTTTCTAGATTTCCCAACCGTGTGTTTTTCCAGTTTCATGTTTTCATTGTCCTCTGTCACTCCATTTTATTTTTGGAGGGGTTTCAGCCTGAATTTATTTCTTCCCCCCATCACTTCTGGGCGCTGGCTGGATCCCGTCTCCCAGCCCACACACAAGAGGCCTTTGTTGCCTCCGATGGGAGGAGCAGGAGTTTAAACTGTAGCGATGTCTTCTGGATAAAATTGTGGAAACTTCCTCAGATCCTTTTTCCCATGGGTTCTAGAAGTCGCCATCCGTCAGGTCAAAGCATCCTTGGCACAGAACCTCCCCCTGGTCCCCCCTGGGAGCACTGGGGTTTCCCTTCAGAGTTCTCTTGTCACCACCACATCGGAGGAACCCAGGAACTGTCCAGTCTGTGCATGCCATCCATCAGGTCAAACATCCTTGGCACAGAACCTCCCCCTGCTCCCTCCTGGGAGTGCTGGGGTTTCCCCTCAGAGTTCTCTGCACAGCCTTTGCATCACCACCGCATTGGAGGAACCCAGGAACTGTCCAGTCTGTGCAGGGAGCAGAAATATTTAGGTGTCTTCTGGATAAAATTGTGGAAACTTCCTCAGATCCTTTTTCCCATGGGTTCTAGAAGTTGCCATCCATCAGGTCAAACATCCTTGGCACAGAACCTCCCCCTGCTCCCTCCTGGGAGTGCTGGGGTTTCCCCTCAGAGTTCTCTGCACAGCCTTTGCATCACCACCGCATTGGAGGAACCCAGGAACTGTCCAGTCTGTGCAGGGAGCAGAAATATTTAGGAAAATGAGTCTTCAGCACTGTCACATTTCAAGCTTTTCAGCTGTTATTTTGGCTCTAATTACACCCATTGACTTACAGCATGCTCTACAATTTTTTTTTCCACTAAAATTCAAACCCTTCCTGACCTGCGGTGGGTTTCAGGCCCCGTAAGGTGAGGTGTCACCTTCAGGTGCTCAGCCAAGTGCTGTTTGAAATGCTCTTTGCATGAGAAATCCTGCAGTTCAGCCTTTAATCAGCCCTGGGGCCGTGCTGGGTTTGTACACGCACAGCCCAGTGCTCTCTGAGTGTGGATGGCCCGTCGGGGGTGGATTTTTGTGTTTTATGACAAACCGCTCTGCCTGTCAGGGGAGAGCTTTGAAACTTCCTCTTCCTGTCCAAATGTTGGAGGATTTTGGTGGAGATGAAGTTCCTGCTTGCCCCTGCCTGGCCAAGACAGGTCTCATATCCCCATCTTCCCTGCCAGTCCCCAAGAAACCTGTTCCCTTTCCCATTCATGTAGGTTTGGGAATTGATATCAGCCCTCATTTCCCAGTGCAGCGTTTCCCAACACAGGCATTAGGTAAAGCTGTAGAATTGAGTAACGAGGCCGGTGCTGACGGGGAACGGGAGGGAGTGAGGACACGGTGATAAGGTGATTCCCAGGAGTCTCACACCATCTTAGAAAACTGAACCGAAGGAAAACGGGAATTTTTCATCTTTGCTTTCATTTCTGCAGGGTTTCCAGGTGCTAGTGGAGACGGAGTGGCTGGATTTTGGCCACAAGTTTGCCGATCGCTGTGGCCATGGTGAGAATTCGGATGACCTAAATGAGCGCTGCCCAGTGTTTTTACAGTGGCTGGACTGCGTCCATCAGCTCCAGAGGCAGTTCCCTTGCTCTTTCGAGTTTAACGAAGCATTCCTTGTGAGTTGTGGCTTGAGAGATTGCTGTTTTATAGACTGCTGCTAAACCAGTGCCCGGTACTAACATACTAGAGTGTCCCCAGGGGGTTCTGATTTTCCATTTACCTGGGATACACTGCCACCTGATAAAGGAAACTGGAAAACTGCCCAGATGCAGTAGACAAAAGTACTTGTGTAATTCATGTTTGCTCTTAAAACAGAAGTAGGACCCTTGAGGTCTTCTTTTAGATTTTTAAAGAAATAAATAAACGATGCTAACTTAATAGTCTCACCTAAGAGGTGCTGAAATAATTCCTGTATAATACACATATTGGCTATATAAACTCCCCCCTATTTTGATATTGTCTTGACTTGAAGGCTCCTCCTCTAAACCCAACCTCCCCCTTGGCTTTCCATTCATTTTTTTCTCTTTCTTTGCTGAAAATATGCAGGATATATGAGCTGTGTTTCTTTTCTTTTGACGTGGACAGCTGTCCTATCAGAAATCTGGTCCAAATCAGTTCTGGAGGCCGGAAAGCCGGTCTCTGGGAAAGAGACAGTCCCTGACTGCAGGACTGATAATCTGAAGAATAAAAGTTTTTATGAATTGTCTCAGCCACGGAGAGCTTTAAAGCACATTCCTGTGATTAGTGGCTGACTTGAGTTACCCCTGGCCAGCTCAGCCACCCAGCCCAGTGGCTGTCCAGTCCTCGGGTGGGAAATGAGATGCGGGAGGTTATAACTGGTTGTACTGCTGATCTGCAGGAGCTGTGTGGCAGCGTGCCCTTAGATTCTGGCCTTTTTAGAGTAAACCCCTTAATTTATTAGATTATTGAAGTACTTGTCTTCATTTAACATCTGAATAATCCTATAGAAGTCATTTATATGCTTAAAGTTTGTATTAAGCTAATGTGTCAGATGGGGTGCCCAGCATGGAGTGAATAGTGATGAGGGTGTGTGTGCTGTGTGCATTTACACCAACCTGCACAAATTAACACTTTTCCCCACCGTTCTTTGCCTTTCTGTGCTGCCTTAACGTTTTGTAACAGATATCACAATTGCCTCCTTTGCCTGTCCTTACAGGGCTGTGACTTTGAATCAGCAATACTTGATTATGAACAAATATTTTGTCTTTATATTTTATATTTTTTTAATTATGATTTTAAAAGATTCCCCCATGCTTGGGTTCTTTTGCAATGAGTTTATAAGGAGGTAGGCAAAAAATGCACATCAGTGTTCGGGAATGGGGTGTAATGTCCCGTGAAGGGAAAGATTTGCTGCATAAACTGGCACGTTGATTCTGATGTGAAGCTGATCTCTTCTGCCATGTGACGGTGTGCTACTGGTCTGTGCAGGTGAAACTGGTGCAGCACACCTACTCCTGCCTCTTTGGTACATTCCTGTGCAACAACGCGAAAGAGAGAGGAGAGAAACACACTCAGGAACGGACCTGTTCTGTCTGGTCTCTGCTGCGGGCAGCAAACAAAGCCTTCAAAAACCTGCTCTACTCCTCCCAGTCTGAATCCGTACGTATCCCCCTCCCCGCCCCCGCCTATAATGCTCCCCAAAGAGGGGACATGAAGAAACCAGCCAGGCTTGTAGCGGTGGGACGTGGTGATGGCTTCACCCTCACTGTGAATGCAGTAGAAAGAGGCAGGTCCTCCTGAAAGGAGGTTGTAGAGAGGCAGGTGTTGGCCTCTTCTCCCAAAGGATGAACGACAAGGCCAGAGGAAATGGTCTGAAGTTGGGGCAGGGGAGATTTAGGTTAGATATTAGAAAGAACTACTTTCCTGAGAGGGTGGTCAGGCCCTGGAACAGCCTGCCCAGGGAGGTGGTGGAGTCACCATCCCTGGAGGTATTTAAGAAACGTATAGACATGGCTCTTCAGGGCCTGCTCTAGTGCCCAAGGTTATTGGTTTATGGTGAGGTGTTGAGTGTGGGGTTTAGTTGGTGGGCGTTTGGTGTGGTGTGTTTTGTATTTGTTTGGTGGGGGTTTTTTTGTTTTGTTTTGGGGTTTTTTTTTCTTGTTTTTTTTTCTTTTTTTTTTGTGGTTGGACTCGATGATCTCAGAGGTCCCTTCCAACCACTAAGATTCTGTGATTCTGTGATTTCCAGGGCGCTGTGCCCAGCTCTCCCCTCCGTGTTCGCCCTCGAACGCTCGGGCCGGTCTGACGTTTCAAGCCTTGCATGAAGTTTGCTGGTATTTGAGGAACGTCAAATGCAACCTCAGAAATGTCTCTCTGCCAGAAATACGTTTTCTGGAACTAAATATTTTGTCTTCTGCAACAGAAAACATTTCAGTGTGTGACACTTCTAGACCTTTCTAGAGAACGGAGCTGTGTCGGAGGAGTGACGTAGAACCACACACAAACCGAGACACTGTGTCTATACTAATCTTAAATCTGAGCAGAAAAAGGAACTCAGATTTAGTGTATCTCTGTTTCTCTTCATTTTTTCACATTTTCAGTTTGGCTCTTCCATAGTAATAGATCACTGCAGCTTCTGGGAAGGGACATAGTTGCCTTTTGTGTATCTGATAAATGGGAACACAAGGCATTAGGGATGCAGAGTGGTGGGTACGTGAACAGTCAGTCCTCAAATGGCATCCTCATTAGGACAGCCAAGACTTTCATAAATATTTAAACCCTTTTTGTTTATAAAAGTATCAGATTCCATAAATCTAACGGTAAGGACGATGCAATGTTTTTGCATGTGATAGATGTGGCTTTTAATTGTTCCTTAGAGTAATATGAAAACCTGGCTTAGTAGGAAAGAGTTGATGCCTACATTTGTTAGAAAAAGATGGCTTTTCTATTCCTGTCTGCCCTCTGGGGCTGTCTGTGTCCCCTGGCCACGCAGCCTGAGCCCCTTTGTCATTGTCATTGCCACTGGCGACCTCCACCATGGCTCTTGAAGGCTTCCCAGCCTGATGCCATCATAGGAGTGGACGTGATAGCTGCCAGCATGAGGCATTGCAGATAAATATGGTTCGTGCGGAGTTTAGAGGATCTAAGTTTTCCCTGAAAACACCAGCAGGTTGCCTGGTCCTCGGAGCGCTCCTGACGTGGGCAGTGTGGGCAGGGAGCCCTTCTGGCCCCAGGCTGCCCTCACCTGCGTGTCCTGCGGTGGAGATGCAGTCAGTGACCTGGCCTCTGCTCTCTGCAAACACTGCGCTGTAGCGTATGGAGCTAATTAGGATAATTTATCCGTATGTGGGAGTTCTCATAATTTCCTGTCTTGTATTTGTGGCTTTACTTCAGAGTTTAGAGGGTGCTTCTGGGATGCAGCCACATCTGGTATAAAACCCGAGTTGTTTTAAGAGCAGCACCCACCAAACCGAGCCACCCCCCAGCCTTCCCTCTGCCCAGTTTTGGGCCCCCTACCATAAAAAAGACATTGAGGGGCTGGAGCGGGTCCAGAGAAGGGCGACAAAGCTGGGGAGGGGTCTGGAGAATAAGTCTTATGAGGAGAGGCTGAGGGAGCTGGGGTTATTCAGCCTGGAGAAGAGGAGGCTGAGGGGAGACCTTATTGCTCTCTCCAACTCCCTGAAAGGAGGGTGTAGAGAGATGGGGGTCGGTCTCTTTTCTCAAGTCACAGGCAACAGGACAAGAGGAAATGGCCTCAAGTTACACCAGGGGAGGTTCAGGCTGGATATTGGGAAAAATTTTTTCACTGCAAGGGTTCTCAGCCATTGGAATGGGCTGCCCAGGGAGGTGGTTGAGGCCCCATCCCTGGAGGTGTTCAAAAGACGGGTTGATGTAGTGCTGGGAGGTCTGGTTTAGTGATGATGCTCCTTGTTTGTTGTGTGGGTGTCTATTTTTGTCAGTTAGGTTGATGGTTGGACAAGATGATCTTTAAGGTCCCTTCCAACCTAGAAGATTCTGTGATTCTGCTCAGCCCCAGCACAACCTGACTGTTTCTCCACCATCACCAGCTTTTCCACAAAAAAAGTTGCCTGGGAAAGCAGTGGAATTGATAGAGTGACCCGAGGTGGTGCTAAGCTGAAGCAGAAAGCCTATTCCAGAGCCAAGGAATCCCTTTTAAGAGCAAGCTGCCTCTTCAGCAAAGTATTTCTGTGGATACTTAATTTTTAACATCTGAGTGCTTCCCTGAAAGACGGGGCTGGCTGTGATGAAGGGGCTGGCTGTGATGAACTGGAGCCTGCGGAAGGAGGTGATTAGTTGAGCTCTCGGGCGGTGTGGTGTAACGCAGGGGACAGGGAAATGTGGGCGCTGACAACGAGCCTCTGAATTCCTCAGCAGCCTGCCCGGCTGGGAAGCCTTATGGAGGTGTAGATTCACATTGCAGTGATTCATTGAGGGGAAGCTGAAAGCCAGCATTGTTATGCCTCAGCCTCTGTCTCTGAAAGCAGAGATAATTATATATCCCAGTGTAGCTGATTAAAAATGCTGGAGCTGCTCGCTAGCCTTCGGAGATCCAGCAAAGCCTCCCAGCTGCAGCCCTGAATAATAAACTACCAGGATTGCAGACTGGAGCAGCTTTTTACATTCTGTTTCTGACCCGGCTTGTTCCCCCCACCCCAGGTGCTGTACCCCGTGTGCCACGTGCGGAATTTGATGCTCTGGAGCGCCGTGTACCTGCCCTGCTCCTCCCCCTCCACCCCCGCAGACGACACCTGTGCCCCGTACCCCGTGCCAGGCTCCAGCCCTGAAGACCAGCCTCTGGGCAGGTGAGCCTCCAGCCCAGCAATCCCGTCCTGTAAAGTAAGATCAACAGGGAATATTGTGGGATATAATGAGGAGAACACTGGCGGTGGGGAGGGAGGGGTTTTGCACCGGGTTCTTTATGGGACTGTGTGACCTGCCCAAAAGCAGCCTGTTGTTCTTTCCCTTTTGGGAGCTGTTGAGTTTCAGAGGTGACAGCGGAACAGAGAGGAGATCAGCAAATAGAATTAAGCTGCGGGTGTTACACGGCCGTGTAGGATTCCTTATATCCTTGTGGGATATAAGCTTTCATTTGCTTATCTGGAATTGGAGTTCCTTTTCTGTGTTGCATAACTGTTTCTTCGCTTTTTTGTACAACGATTCTGAGCACGTACCGGTGAGGAGGCGTGAGCAGACTGTAAGCACTTGTGCTTGTGGGGAAGGGGTTATTCTGGGAGTGTTTGAAGTCTGATTGAATGTATTTTCCTGACGGCCAACAAAGCAGCTCTGTGCTACAGATGGGCCCAATGTGCTCCTCAATAATACTTCACACAAGTCCATTAGTGAGCAGATTGTTATTGTCCTAATTGGAGGGGGGCAGAGGGAGGAGTTTTTAAGCCATCGTAGCTAAGCATTTAGGGAAAAAAATACTCCCCTGACTGTGGATTCTGCTTATTTCTAGGTTACCAAAGACAAGATCCTTTGACAATCTGACGACAGCCTGCGATAGCAGCGTGCCCACCGCCAACCGCCGCAGCAGCGACCCCAGCCTCAACGAGAAGTGGCAGGAGCACCGGCGGTCGCTGGAGCTGAGCAGCCTGGGCAACCCTGGGGAGGAGCCCTTCGACGGGGACGGCCTGGGCAAAGCGGGCAGGGCTCCTCTGGGAGCAGAGCTCTCCGTGGCCGCCGGCGTGGCGGAGGGACAGATGGAGAACATTCTGCAAGAGGCCACTAAGGACGACGTTGGTCTGGAGGAGCACCTGAGGGGTAACCTGGAGACAGCAGGTAAAGGGGACGAGGTTGCCCTGGATAAGGAGAAGAGAACTGAAAATCTGCATGTCTGTGAGAAGGCTGAGGAGGACGAAGGTATCGCAACGAACAATCCGGCGTCCAACCCACATCCAGTTTCACAAGGTGCTTCTGAGCTCAAAGGCCAGCAGGACGAGCACGCTGATCTCAGCAACGCTCTCCAGAAGCTACCTCAGGGGAAAGGACTGCAGGCAGCTCCCTTGGAGGGCTGTGTGAACAGAGAGGCTCAGCAGCAGCCGGAGGAGGAAGGTGTTGGCAAAGCTGAAGGCGAAGCAGAGAGCCCGTCCCACGCAGCACCGGCCGGCCTTCCCTTCCCTCTCACAGCCCCCTACGAGGCAAGAACATCCAACGTTGAAAGTTCTACCGAAACCTTAACAGAGAATGAAGCAAAGCAAGAGCTCCTTCCTAAGAGTCCTTGCCACAGACCTCACCGGATGGACAACAGCGCTGACGGGCTTTCTCGAACTGTTGACCATAGGCCAGAGGGGGAGAGCGTGCTAGAACTTCAAAAACTGGGAACAAAAGTGCATAGGACTTCTGGTAGCAGCAACACACACATCCCGATGCCTTCCCCTTGTGCCTTGCCTTTAGCTGAATGTAAGGATGAGATTGTGTGTAACGGGGAGCTGGAGCCCGAGAACAAGCTGGCGGAGAGGTCTGCGGGGTTCAGCATCCCCCAGAAATACCACGCGGCGAACGGGCACTGCCTGAACGGGGAGGACGGCCGGATCAAAGCCTCGCTGAGCCGGCAGGTCTCCGCCGCCAGCTGCAGCTCCGCGCAGTTTCACTTGAGGAACTTGCACCAGAAGTGGATGTTCAGTCACCTGGGTAAGCAGCAGGCAGCCGGGAGCCCGGAGCAACCCGCCAGAAGCCACCTGGACGATGACGGGATGCCCGTCTACACCGACGTCATCCAGCAGCGCCTGCGCCAGATAGAAACCGGCCACCAGCAGGAGGTGGAGACCTTGAAGAAGCAAGTGCAGGAGCTGAAGAGCCGGTTGGAGAGCCAGTTCCTCAACAGCTCCCTGCGGCTCAACGGCGACTACGGAGACGAAGTGGTAAGTGAGATGGTAACTGGGCCACCTCTGGAGACAGCGGGCTAGTGATCACCTGCTGGATCTCAGCGTACTCCCACCTCAGGTAGTGATCGTTCTGGCCATGCAGGCTCTTGCAAAACTCTCCAGGTCCTTCTGAAAAGGGCAAATGACCGAGCACGTGGCAAACGGCAATTAATGGTGACTCAGATTTTCACTGTATTGCACTTTGAGCATAAACGTAGCAAAGGTTTATTTCAAGGTGGGTGTTTCAGAGCGTTACTCACACGTACCTGGACGTACTTCAACCCCTTCATTGGCCTTATTAAAAAAAAAATAAAAATTGTTTTACTCTTGTTTTCATATCCGGTTAAAGATCGTAGTTTCTAAGGCAGTGGTTGTGCCATTTATCGGGACGGGAGCACAGGATGATCTCTGGGTGCTTTGCACACCTGGGGTAAGAGCAATGCATCAATCCTCCCGCTTTCCCGAAGGCAGGGCTGCTCCCGGCTCGTTAGCGGGAAGAAATGAAGAGCTTTTGTGACAGCCTTATGTCAATGAGGCTTTTTCTCAACAAATTAAAAATTTTAAGGCAGCTTTTAAACTGACTGTGCTTTTTTTTAAAGTCGTCCAAGTAGAGCCTTCAGTTTGAGGCGCGATTCGAATGCGGTGTGGGGATTGCTGCAGCAATGAAACCATCTACCTACTTGTGGGTGCAAAAGACATTTTAAAATCAAAAATGAAATAAGTATAATCCCAAATTCAAGATGTCAATATCTAGTGAGTTTGCTTGTATGTCTTGGGTGGTTTTTTAAGTTGCTTCTCCCCTGCCTGTTTTTTACTGAATTTCTCCTCCTCTTTTGACTAATAAACAATAATAAAAAGTCAATAGAAATACAGTCGGTGCCTTACGTTGCTTGAATCCCACCTGGTTCAGAGAATGAGCAGGACTCCTGTTCTGCAGAGCCCTTTGTGCACGGAGCAGCTCTGCAGGTGGCTGCAAAAATTGGGCTTTCAAAGGATTATTAGTTAAATAAAATAAATGAAGAGGGGAGAGGTCCCTGGGGAACAGGCTGGGGACAGTGAGAGGGCGTGAAGGGGAAGGCGAGGAGACATAAGATCCCTGAGACAGAGCTTGTATCTGAAAAGAAAAATAAATTGTAAGAGGTTTCCAACTTTTGTCTACGTACCGTGCTGTTGTTTAGAAGGGGCAGAGGTGCTGGATAGTCCCAGGTACGTTTGGTGTGAGAAATTCTGGGAGCCTTCTTGGCTGTTAACATCGGAGATAACAGCACTGGGTGCTGCCTCGGGCATCCCTTTCCGACCGGTGGGGATTCTGTCACTGGCAAAAGCTTGGATTCCTTGGACAAAGTTGGTGATTTGGCTTTATTTTATTATTCTCCCATTTTTTTAAGGGCCTTCACAAACCGCAGTGCAGGGCTGGGTGTCAGAACCCAGAGTCTGATCTCTGCTTTCTGGTTGTGCCTCAAATTGGGAGGGAGAGGTTTTCTTCTGGAGCTCCAGAGGCACCCATTCCTCAGGCACAGAAAGGCATTAACTCAAGATTTCTTGCTAGTTTTAATGTATTTTAAGGGCTGGCTGAGTTTTAAGTCAGTTAAAATACAACTTTACCCGAATAGACTATGTTAAAGAAGCATTATTCTCCCCAAAAATATATATATATGGAATATATACAGCTCAAATTCTGAGTTTCCCAGGTGTGATTTGGTTTGTGTTTTCCAGAATTTTTGCTGACAAAAAGCTGTATGTATGACTGGTATTAATTTTGAAAGTGAAACAGCCTCGGAAAGGAAATGCCACCATGAAACTGGAGCTTTTTTGGTTCATCACCCACAGTGGTGCCAGAACTCTGTGCTTAACGCATGAGAAAACACATCTAAAATCCATTTTACAAATCCATTTTAAAATCCATCGTCTGGAGGGTCAAAACCTGACCAGTTGGGGTTTTTTTCCATGGTTTGGGTGGTGGTTTTTTTGGTTTTTTTTTGCAATTCTCTGCTGCACAACCCCCTTCAGCGCGTGGCATTTCTGGTCCCATCGGAAAAGGCGCTGCCGCCTGTGCCCTGTAGGGAGGGGACATTTGTAGGTTGTGACATTTGCCCTCAGCTGGAGGTGCCCCCAGAGTGTCCGGGTTTTGATTTGTGGAGGTAGGGATCCGGGAGGGTTCTGTTCAGCTGTGTTTGTTTGCCAACAGACTTCTATCCCCGACTCGGAAAGCAATCTGGATCAGAACTGCTTGTCTCGCTGCAGCACAGAGATTTTCTCTGAAGCCAGCTGGGAGCAGGTGGATAAACAGGACACAGAGGTACAGACTAACGCCCCGTAAATCGCTCATTCTTTGCCAGTAGGATGGGATATTCCTCATCCAAATGATCCTCCGGCCTTTGGTCACCTGCCACTTCTTGGGGAACTCTATTCCTTGTGTTTCGCTTGTCTCTCGTACTTTAAATATCAGTACCTGTGCCTATGAGCCCTCTGCTGTCTTTGAGAAGCTGGGGAAGGGATGGTAGCTAAAGCAGCTGTAGGTGCACACCTGCTTGGTGAATATTCTTGGCCTGAATACTTTTAAAGCACGGAAAAAACTAAGGAATTTGACGTTTTTGACTTAATTTCTGTCTGAGGGAAGTGCTGTTCTCAAAGGGAAGGTTCCTGCCGTCTGTCTTGGGTGCGAGCGCTGAGTTCGTGCTTTTAGAACAGAACAAATGCTGAATTGGTGAGCTCAAGTGAGATGGGTCTGTTTCTGATGAATGGTCCTCTCCTTGATGAATGTCTTCTCTGTCCCCAGGTGACGCGGTGGCTCCCGGACCACCTGGCAGCGCACTGCTACGGCTGCGACAGCGCCTTCTGGCTGGCCAGTCGGAAGCACCACTGCAGGTGAGCGGGGCTTCGGCACAGGACGGCGGGGAGGGGGGCACACAGTTGTCCCTTCTCCCGTTCCACCAGGAAAGGGCTTTCTTTGACACGTAGTTCCTCGCTCAGGGACAGGTGGCAGAGTTTTAGGGCAGGACGGTGCACGCTCCCGAAGGAGCCCAGGGCTTTGGCAGGACGGAGCTGTTTCTCCCAGGGAGTTCCAGTTCATGCAGAGTCAATATCTAAAAAGCTCAATTTGGTCTCTGCTCCATCCCAGCCTAAACACATCCCGCCTTCTTTTGTCCTCAAGCTGGATTTGGAGGCAGCTGTTTAGCTTCTTAAGAGGCTGTAAATAATAAAAACCACTGGTTTGTCACCTCTGCATTCAATAATTCAATACTGCAACTCTACGAATACTGTCTTCTTCCCATTGCTGGTGGTAAAGTCGCTCCTTCCCTTCTCTAACCGCTCTTCCCTTTTCCACTGCTGGTGGAAGAGAACCTGCAGAGGACACCTACGTCAAGGAGAAGTTTTCTGGATTGTTCTTTGCCAAACGTGTTGCCAGCAGAGGCTGCAACAGCTAATGCAGGCAGCAGGGGCTTAATGAGGAGCAGGTGGCGGAGGCCTTTTGATGAGCTCATGCTCTGGGTAGAGTCAGAGAAGCTCAGATTTCTGAGGTCCATTTCGAATAAATCCCTGTTCCTCATTTCTGGGCATGAGAAAGCCATTACAAGAAGTGTCATTTCAGCAAATGGCAGTTACCACATTGGGATGCTTCATCGCTTTTTGAAGTCGTAGAGAATCATAAACATCTTCCTTGGTTTGTGTCCCATTTTGTGTTTTGCTCCCTTTAGTCGTCTTTGAAAGATAAACCAAACCCAGGGCAGAAGGAACAAGAGTTGAAAGGCTTTGATTTTTTTTTTGCATGTCCACTGTATCTGTGCAAATTTGTCTTAAGGCTTCAGAGGAAGAGGGAAATTACTAAGCACATGGCTGTGCGCGTCTGAAGGGGTTGATAAGAGTTAAAAACTTTTAAACCCCGAGTTTAAATAGGGTTTTCCTTCTCCCCGTGGTACCTGCTGTGGAGGGCACCCAGATGGCATTTGGCACCTCCATTTCCCTGTCCCTGGGCTGGCCTCTGGGGACACCCTGGCACATGGATGCCCCCAGGACACCCCAACACCAAAACAAAACTTGAGGTTTCCTGTTCAGTTGCAAATTTCCCTCTAGTGTCTATTCCTTCAGCTTTCCCCTGCCTGGGCTGGGCTGCCCAGGCTGCCCACCTGCGCTCTGCTGGTTTGTGCTAGAGACCAGTAAGGAATGGTGACCAGCAAGAAACCCACCCATTCCCATTTCCACACCCCAGTGGGCAGTGGCAGTCTGCTCCCCGGCCTGCCTGACGGGGGAAACGAGTTGAAATCCATGCGCTGGGAGGCCTTGAGGGGGATCAAAGCAGGCAGTCCCTTCCTTTTCTCCATGTGGTTCCTTTCCCCATCCCCTCTGAGCTCTCTCTCCCCTCCTTGCAGGGACGTTGAACGCGTTGGTCAGATCTGGTGAGCATTTACAGCAGCCGCTCTCTGTTGTCCGTCTGTCTTTTCTAACTAACCTGGGCTCTGCCCCCCCTGTTTCTCACTTGCCTGGAAGTCACCACGGCGCGGTGCTGGGGGGGCAGTGCCAGCTCCTGGGGGTTTCATCCCCACGGACCGGCCTCTCTCCGCAGCAGGGCCTTCAGGATTGGCTTGTTGGGAGCTGAAACCGGGGTGTGGGTGACACTAACGCTCACCGCAGCCACGGCGTGTGTGTGGGTAACAGAGAATGCTCCACTTCTAACTGAGAAGAGCCCATCCTTCGAGTGTGTTTTTATTTTTTATTTTCCCTTTTTGCCTTGGTTTTGGGGGAGAGATCCAGGCGGTATCCAACGGTTCTGGTGCCGCTCTGCAGCCTGGTCACGGGAGCTGCCACTCATTTCACAAGGGCTGTGGCAGTGAGAGGTCACGCCGAGCTGGGGAGGGTTAGTGTCACCCAGACAGGGAGAAACACCCGTGAGCTGAGGCACCAGCAGCGGGATTTTAACAGTCACCCTTCCTCACAGGAGGGAGATGGCTTTTCCAGCACGTTTTTTAACGTCTCTCTCTGATCTCCCAAGCGAAGCAGAGGGACCACCAGGGTAGAAGGTTGTTGGGAGCTGTTCCCAACACAGTTATCCGTCACAGAAGGATCAAACAACAGCAACCCCCAGCGTGTGTCAGGAAGCTGATGAGCTACAACAAACAGATCCTTGTTTTAATCCCTCAGCTGCTTTTCTGCCCTCGCCTGTGGGCAGAGAGCTCCTGCTGGGTGGGGGCTCTTGGAGCACAGAGACGGGGGCTCTCGGAGCCGCTCTTCTGCCGGGTGTTGCTGCAGGAACGCTCCTGCGGCTTCTCCTGGCGCTGGTTTCTAACAGAGCCCTGAGCAGGGCCGAGAGGCGCCGCAGGAAGGCGAGTGGCTGTGGGGCTCCCGCTGCCAGGGTTTCCCCTTTGAGACCCAGAGCCACCGTGTGGAGCTGGGAAAAGGAACCCATTGGAGTGAGAAATGGGATTTCTCCGCTGACTCTTTCCCCGTCAGCGCCTGACATCTGGAAGTCTTGTCTCTGGGCGAGGAGGGATGAATGGAAGCTGCTGAGTGGAGGCAGAGTCCTCTGTCAGCCCCGTGGCGGCAGGGAATCTTTTCTAGCCCAGAGCAATGATGGCCCAGGATCCCGCTCCAAGGAGTTCAGGAGAAGGGACCGGGCAGGGAGGGAGCGCTGCAGACGCAGGTCCCTGGGTGCTGTTCTGAGCCCCTTAAGGAACAGGGGGTTTCGGAGGCCGGGGCCCTGCGGTGCTCACCGGGCTGAGCAGCAGCAGATTTGGGGGGGAGGGGGGGAGCTGCAAGAGGAGAAGGGAATTATTTTGCAGGGTTTACATTTTATTGCCGTGAGGTGCATGCGCCAGCGTGTCCTCCACCAGCTGCCCTCTGACCGGAATGCGTGTGAGACGCTCCCCCGCCGCAGCCCCACCGCCTCCCGCAGCATGGATTTACCCGCCTGTCCCTCCCCTGGCTTTGCATGATCCCTGGGCACTCCCTGACTTTACGCAGAAGCCTGGGATTGCCGGGAACGCCGCAGAGGAGCCCGCGGGGCTGGGGCAGCGGGAGGATTTCAGCGGCAGAAACTGGGTTTAATATTTTTTCCCTCGTCTGTCCCGTGCTTACCCTTCCCAGCAGCGCACGCGGGAGGAAGAGGACGAGGTGTCTCTGTGCATCACTACGGAGCAGGGCCCCGTGTCTGCTCTCCCTCAGCCCCTCGTGTGTCCCCGGGGTGGCGGTGACAGCGAGGAGCCCGTGCTCCTGGGCAGGAGATGGAGAGAGCCCTGTGTGAGGGTGGGGGAGTCCCCTCCCGTGTGAGATGGGAGCCTTGTGCTGCAGGGAGGTGTGAGGAGCTGTAACCATGTGCCGCGGGCCCCTCTGTGCTCCTCCCTGCTGCCCCTCACCCTGAGCTCCCCTCCGGCCGCCGCAGCCGGTGACATGGGGCGCAGGCATCGGGGTCTGTGTCCCCGTCCTGGTGCTTGGGGAGCAACAACTGCAGCCCCCGGGGCTCACCCCGTCACCACGCACCCAGGGACGTTAGAGCTCGAGTGACTTTGTCCAACTCCTTCTAATCTTTTCCTTTTCCCTTCCTCCTCTCTTCCCGACGCAAGGAATTGTGGAAACGTGTTCTGCTCCAGTTGCTGTAACCAGAAGGTGCCCGTTCCCAGCCAGCAGCTCTTCGAGCCCAGCAGAGTCTGCAAATCCTGCTATCGCAGCTTGCACCCCAGCGGCTCCAGCCTTGACCTCGAACTGGACAAACCCATCACTGCCACCTCCAATTGAAGTCCCAGCCCACGAACGGCCGGGGAGCAGCCGGTGCCGACTCTTCCCCATCAGAGGAGGCGGGTTCTGGGCGGGCCGAGGCCGGGAGGAGGCGGGAGCCCTGCACTTTGGAGGTTGGGGCCCGGGACGCCGCTCGGCGGGACGGAGCTCCGGGACGTACCGCTGGATTGTGGGATCCTCCTTTTCCAGCTCTTCCCCCTTCCCTTCCGGTCCTATCTGTGTGTATGTGTCTACGTGCGTGCGTGTGTGTGTATATATATAATAATATATATATGTCCGTTTGTTTGCTGGAAGATGGTGGAAGCGGGAAGGGAGCTGGTGCCAGAACCAGGTTTCCCTCCGTGTTTCCCGCTGCTGAGCCGTGTCAGAGGGACGATTCCGGGGAGGAAAGGAGACGAGGGGCGTCAGCCCGGCCGGGGCGCGCAGCGGGGCCGCCTGTAGCGTCAGCGCTAGAGCTTTCAATCACTCCTCACTTCCCAACGAGACACTGCTGTTTGGGAACCTGTTGCTGCTATAGAAGAAACGGGAATCTCTTTCCCAGGAGAGCACCCTCCCTCTGCCCTGAGAGCGGCTGTCGCTGTCCTCGCTGCGGGAAGGGGGATCGGGTGGGGGTCTCCACGCCGGGGGGCTCTGTCCTTGCACACACAATCCAGGTGTCCTGGCACCATCGGCCCCCCCCGCGGTGGCTCCCGTGGACGAGGCTGGGAACGGGAAACGGGCGCTTGTTTGCGAGAAGAGGGTTGAAGGGTCTGCCCGGGCGAGGGAGGCGTGACCCGGGCACCTCTCTTTGGAGTCCTCTAAACACAATTCATTATTTAAATCTTAAATCCCAGTGGGAAAGTAAACAACCTTCCACTCGTGTCCCTGCCCCAGCTGAGGGAGGGTGTGCGGGATGCGGGGCCGCGTTTGGGGCAGGGTGTGTGTCGGGGCAGGGTGTGTGTCAGGGCAGGGTGTGTCGGCTGAGGGAGGGTGTGCGGGATGTGGGGCCGCATTTGGGGCCACGTTTGGGGCAGCGTGTGTGTCAGGGCAGGGTGTGTGTCAGGGTGGGCACACGCAGCCCCTCCTCCTGCTGCCGAGACTCGCACTTTAATGAGAATGTCCCGACCAGCCCCTCGGATCCCGGGGGGTTCCTGGGCTCGGCCCCTCGCAGGGCACCACTGCTGGGCTCTGCCCCCTTCCCCAGCCCGTGCCCAGTGCTCCAGAGAGGAGCATCCTGCCTGAGGATTTTGGAAAGCCCTACAATACATCGTGGATTCCCCTTCTCCCTCCTGTCCCGATCTGAGTCGCTTTTAAGGTCACCTCATTAAAGTGTGAATCTCCTGAGTATCTGTTTTTTAACGAGTGGTGGGTTCTCGTCCCTTCCCTGTTCCCCGGAGCCCGCTCAGCGCGGCGGGGCCAGGAGGAGACACGGATCCTGCTTCCAGGGCATCGCCCCGACAAAGGTCCTGCTTCTCTGGTGATGTTCTCAAGAACAAACCAATCCTGCTGGAGTATCAGAGAGTTTTAAATACAAAAGCTCAACAATCTAAGAAACCTTGGGAAAGGAGGGCTTCCCTTCCCTTCCCTGGAATGTCGCAATGGCGTGATCCAACGCGGGTATCGCGCAGAGAAAACCATCGGGAATGTTTGTGAGGTCTGAGGGGGAAAGAAGCACCAGGGTGTTCTGTTGTTGGCTGTGAACTCCCCACACCCTTTGCAGAAGGAGCGTTGGGGCTGCGGTGGCACAAGCTGAGGATTCCCAAGACAAACTGGGATGTGGGGGGGGGTTCAGCGGAGCGGCCGGTGTGTCCTCACGGGACGGGCTCCGGGAACGGGGCGTCTGGGCACCTCCCCGGGGACGGGCTCCAAGGGCTTCTCAGACCATCAGGAGGGAGGAGAAGCCACCGATGGGTTCTGTGGGGGAGTCAATCTCAAACGTTTGTTCCCAAAGCAGCGCGGCCGACGGCCGGAGCTCCCCGTGGGGCTGGGGGGGGGAGCCCCTGTGGCCACTAACACTGTGTGAAGGGCTTGCGGTGCAACCAGAGAGTCAAAAAGGGGTCTAAGATTCTGCAGCTCCTGGTGACAGGTGCCAAGAGGTTCTGATACGGGTTTTCGGGGTCTGTGATGTACAGTGTGAATAAACGCTTGCAGCTCTTAGTCTTTTTTTGATCGATGAAGCACTTTTTTTATTAATATTATTTTTCTTTGTATGTAAAGGAGGAAGCAGTATCTCTCCGTAGCTGTACATATAACCCTCCTCTCCTAAAGAGAGTAAAGTGCTCCTATATTTTTCATTTTTTGTCAAAGCGAGAAGTAAATACTTTAGAATTGTTAAATATATAAATAAAAGTGAATAAAGTTTAGACTTCTGCATGGGAGCATTTGCTAACACACTTTCTAATTTTTTTATTTTTCTTCCCTGTCCTTCGTAGGGGGTGGGTTTGAGGTTCAGCAGAAACACCAAGGCCTTTGGAGGGGGAGGCTGCAGCGGGGCCTCCTCTTGCTTTGCTTTGCTTTTCAGCTGCGTGTCTTTGTGAGGAACAACAAACCCTTCCTCCTAAACTTGGAATTAAAATTAGGAAGCTTGGTTTTCCTGGCACGAGGGTCCCGGGGAGGGGACAAAGACACCACCCGCGTGTGGCACCATGTTCCTGGAGCTGGGGAGCTCTGCCAGAACCTCCCTGTCCCCGCAACCCCCTTGTTCTTTTGCCCTTTAACCACCCGTGGTACCTCAGAGCCTTGAGCCCATCACCTTGGCCCAAGTGCAGGAGCAGCTTTGGGTGACGTTTGGGGAAGGGAGCTCAGTGTCCCCGTCCCTGCAGCCACCGGCGGGAGGCGAGAGCCCGGTTCCCCCCTGCACACCTTCCCCTCCCCCTCCCTGCTGCTGGTGGGGCCGGGGCTCTTCGGGAACAAACCCAACTCCCGCAGGTTTTAATCTCTTTCCATCCCGCCCCCAGAAGGTGGGAACCCAACTGCTCTGTGTCCGGAAAAAGTCTCCTCCCGCCCCAGGGGCCGATTGTTCTCATTTCCTTGGGCCACTCGCTGGTTCCAGCCGCTCCCCTCGCACACGCTCCCCCGCTGCTTCTCTTCTTACCTATTTGAAACCAAGAGGATTTGCCCTGAATTTGGGGGCGAGCAACTGGGAGTTACTTTGGGACAAGCCCGTTCTGATCACAATCGTTGTGCACAATCGCTTGATAATCTGCTGGTATTTATTGAATCAAGTGAAACTGCAGCCTCTGGGCAGAGCCGTGATGGCAGCTGGGGGGGGGGCGGGGCGGGGGGGGGCTTTACAGCTTCAAGAGTGAAAAAGTGTCTCTAACGGTTTGCACTATTAAGAAGGTGCAAAGGAACAGCAGGTTTTCAGGGATGCACCAAAATTGGGGTTTGTGGAGCTCCCTTCATCCCTGAGTTGCTCCAAAGACCTGTCTCACTGACCCATCGCTCTTGGGGCGGGTTGGTGCTCCCGGCCCTGCAGGCTTCGGGTGTTCCTCACTGAGTGGAACCCACCAGGCTCCTCCGTGTCCTCGGGGGGAGAAGTTTTTATCTCCCACAAAGCGTGAAACCATTCTTTTGCAGAAGAGCTTTGCGTCAGGGGTGGCTCTGCTGAGAGCACACAGCCGGCCCCGGGCACCACCTCATTTCCTGCTGATGAGTTCTTCCTAACGAGCTCCTGTCCTCTTCCCCTCTGTCAGGGCTCCTGCGCGGGGAGGACAGCGCTGCTCTTCTCTGTGAAACCATCTCCTGACACACGGGGTGGTTGGTGCGGCTTCTCGGGAGCCTCACAAATAGTGGCTGAGGGATGGGACAGTCAGAGGAGCGGAGGTCCCTCGGGTGGGACAGGGCCCAGCCCGGCCTCTCCTGGCTGGGGGAGGTGGCAGAGCAGCCGTTCCACGGCAGGTTGTTGCTCACAGCTTCATTAATGGTGCTGGTGAGGTGTGGTGGTGAGGAGCCAAAGGCTCTGTGGTGGGGAAGGGTGAGGAGGTGTCGGGAACCGCTCCACAGATGGAGGGGAACACCCTGCCCAGGGTCAGTGGGGAGGACGCGGGGGGGGTGGGAGACGCTCGGGCGCGCTGAGTGAGGGCAGCACCCGGCCTCTGCTGGGGCGCGGGACGGGGAGTGGGTGTTACCCAGGGCTGGATGGTGGGCGTCACTGGGAGCCAGCCCCTGGGCTCCACGGAGTGACCCTTCTTGATTAAGAAGCGAAAGCAGCGATTTGGGGTGTTTTGGGAGGAAGGGGGAGGGGGAGGGACGCAGCCCCCACCCGCGCAGGGCACAGTCTGCGCTGCCGGAGCTGCCGCTGCTCCGGGAGGGGGTTTCCTCCGAGGGACGGCAGCGGTTCCCGGGGGTCTCGGTGCCATCACGGACAGGGCAGGGCTGGGGACGCTGCCCAGACCCAGCCCCCGCAGCAGGAAGCAGCTTTTTTACCAATTCAGCCTGGTTTTTGGTTAAAGGAGGAGTCCACCAGCATTAGAGCGAGGAGGCAGAAGGAGAAAGCCCCGTGTCCGTCTGTCCTGTCCCACGCTGCACCCACGGGACAGTCCTGGGCAGGGGAAAAACCAATTCCCACCCCGTTCTCCCCCCATCCGAGCTCGGATCGTTGCATTTCGGGATTTGAGGTTACCATATTCTTCAGACTTTCAAATTTTTTAAAATGCTGCTAAAGTTTTATCTTACTATTTAACAACTCTGTTTTTTAAACCGATTTCCCGTCGTTACGTTATGAAATGATTTTTACCTTGCAGTGGCAACAGGTGATGCAGTTGATTGTACTTTATTATTATTTTTTTGGTGGAATTTGTATTAAAATGGCACCTGATTCCTGATCGATGACGTCAGGACCGTTTAAATGTTTTCAAACCTTTGAGAGCAGAGAGCTGTCTGCAGCAGTGCAAAGTGTTACACCCTCGTGCTATTTCGTTTGTAACAGCATTTATTCTGCTGTAGCCTCAGAGTGAATATTTAGATCTTAATAAATTTGTCATTTTCCTACACGGTGACACTTTTACAGTCCCTTGTGTTTTCTGTATCAGTCCCTCCCGCAGGGCAGTTCATGGGGGTTGTTTTCAGGCAAACTGTAGCTCTGTATTAGGAAAAAGTAATTCTGAGCGTTGGAAAACACGTAGAATTCCTGGGGAGAGGCGCTGGGAGAGCCCGGATCCTGCCACTGGCCAGAGCCCGGGGCTTCGGAGCGGGGCGCTCGGGGGGAAGGGAGGCTGCGGGTGGCTCAGCAGCAGCTCCACAGACAATTCCAGCAGCAGGGAATGCAGCTCCACAGACAATTCCAGCAGCAGGGAATGCAGTGATTCTCCTTCCGTGCCGTGTTCATCGCCTCCCGCCCTGCCCAGGCCAGAGCTGCCGACGGGCTCTGCTGCCGGCACCGTTTCGCTCAGAGCCGCCTGTTTTTCTCTCGTTTTCCCATTCTCCTCATTTTTACACACCACCTTTCTGTGTTTGATGCCCGTGAAGCCTTTGACACCAAACGACTGCAGCAACGGAGGAGATTTTTTCCAACCCAAATATTATTTATTCACCAAAAAGCAGGTATGAGAAATGCTGCCATGGAAGGTCCTTGGGTGCTGACTCCGTGTTCTAGCTCTCTTTGTTCTGTTATTGTTTTTCCTCTGTTACTAGCAACTTCCTAATTAGAAACTTCTGGTCACTGGGGTAATACCCTGCGGGCTGAGCACGAGGAGGAGGGCGCGATGAGGGCTGAGGTGTTTGCTCTGGTGGAGGATCACAGGAGTTCAGTCTCACGCTGGAGTCAGGAGTGATGGCCGTGTGGACTGCAGAACCATCAGGGCACGTGCCCAGGGAACAAACCAGCTCACAGAGAATAAGAAAACTCTTCTTAAGAAAAATTAAGAAAATTATTTTTTTTTCTTGGATTTTGGTACCAGCTTATAGAGTTTTCACGTGATTTGAGTGGTGGTGAGTTCAGTCTCTCCAACTCCCTGAAAGGAGGGTGTAGCCAGGGGGGGTTGGTCTCTTCTCCCAAGGAACAGGTGATGGGACAAGAGGAAATGGCCTCAAGTTGCACCCGGGGAGGGTCAGGGTGGAGAGGAGGAACAATTTTGACACGGAAAAGGTTATTAAGCCTTGGAATGGGCTGCCCAGGGAAGGGGTTGAGGCCCCATCCCTGGAGGGATTTAAAAGACGGGTTGCCATAGTGCTGAGAGACATGGGTTAGTGATGGTTTTTATCAGAGTTAGGTTGATAGTTGGACTGGATGATCTGAAAAGTCCCTTCCAACCTGGACAATTTTATGATTCCATGATTCCATGCAACTGCAATTACCTCCTCCCTGCAGCAGTCAGGGCACAGCTCTGTGGTGTTGGTGTTGAGCTGCCCCATACGGAGCTGCAGGCACCAGATCTCCTCAGCCCCTGGGGAAGCGCAGCGGGGCCAGAGCCGGTTCCGCGCCCGTCTTGGCCAACGGGGGAGCCAAGGTGGGACCCCCCAGCAGGGACCAGGTGCCCAACAGCACACATGGGGGGAAAGCCTCTACTCCAGGTTAATATAAAATATAAACAAAGCTTGTTTGAGACAAAGCAGAACATACAAGGAGCCAGACTAAGTTGGTTTTAAACTGCAAGAGGGGAGATGGAGCTGAGCTGTGGGGAAGAACTTGTTTGGTGGGAGGGTGGTGAGAGCCTGGCCCAGGCTGCCCCGAGAAGCTGTGGCTGCCCCATCCCTGGAGGGGTTCAAGGGCAGGTTGGAGGGGGCTTGGAGCAACCTGGTGTGGTGGGAGGTGTCCCTGCCCAGGGCAGGGGGTGGCACTGGGGGGGCTTTAAGGTCCCTTCCAACCCAAACCACTCTATGACTCCATGATGACAGAAGCCTTGGCTGGGTAAGACCAAGAAAACAGAAAATTTGGGTTCCAAAGCCATTGTTTTGGCCAACGAGCTGCTGAGATGAGTCACTGAGCTGGGGGGCCCTGAGCCCAGCCCTGCACTGCCCCTGGGGTGGTCTGTACGAAGGGATGTGGCCTCTCA